CAAAAAACGAACAGTGAGGGTAGAGATTTAGCGTGCACGTTCGTCATTAACAGGACGTAGTCGTGACACTGATTCAACAGTTGGAGGAGGAGAGTGAGGATGGAAGGGAGGGGCTGAACTCAAATGGCCCAATTAGATTACAGACTCGTATCGTCAGGCTAAGAAGGAATATGCCGTTTGTCTTGCTGTTTATTTTTCTTTATCTCATTTTTTTTAACAAGACTGTTACAGACCACAAATCAAATTAATTCTTAGAAACTAGTTTGTTCTTTATGGTAAATAAATTAGGAAAAACAAGGCCAGGGCAGATAATGTTTATAAGTTTGAGAGAGTACATAGAAGGTAACAAAGCCTTAAAATAGTTAGTTACTTGAGTTTTAAGTTCCTTGGAAAAAACCCCCCCAAAAAAACCTTGACTTCCCTATCGCAAATTGTTTCACTATTCTTAATTCTATCAATCGGTAATAAAATATCATCCGTGAGGCTGAATACAACATAAGCGATCGTCGTTTAAGCACCCGTGACTCAATCAAATTCTATCCTTCTTTCCATTTTTAGATTAATATACAGCAAGCACAACTCTCCTGTCGAACACCCTGGCAGCAGCTGGTCTCGGGGAGGATTGCGCCTGCTGTAGGGTGCAGTTTAGCCACAAGAGGCTGCAATTTGGTCACAAATAAGTGGGTTGAACTTTTTTTTTTTGCTTCATTACGCAGAGACACAAACGCATTATTTTGGTTATTGTAAATATGTGACGTTACAATGTACATTTGTTTTCAACTTGTGCAGCTGAACAAGTGCTGAAGAGTGACTTCCGGGAACCACAGAAGGTTAAGCATCTTCTCATATTGAGCATCAAACAGTATTGTAAACAGAACGTTAAAAATACCTCTTTAAGAAACTCTTCCTTTATTATTTCTTGTATTGTCACTCTCCTGTGGCTCCATTAAACGTCCCTGTGATCGGCTGCAGTGATTTATTACTTCCAGTGGTAATTATAGCCTGCTTTGAAACCAGGCATAATGAGACCACTGCGGACTACTCACTCAGTCTCAAAACGACGTGACAGCAAGTGGGAGATTGTGTTCAGCAGCAAATAATCACCATTACACAACATTATTCATGGAGATATTTGTAAGCCTTTAACATCTACAACCAAACAACTCAGCGGTAACTTATGAAATCAATTTGAATAAAATACAAATTAGAAATGGAACTATTTGGGGGCATTTGCACCAAAGAAGGAATAATGGTCCTTTTCTTACCACATAAGATGTACTGTGAGTTTACCTAGTGTTATTTCTTGCTTTTTTTATGTATTAAAATGAACAACGCATTGTCTGAAAAACATTTGCCTATGCATAGCCTACTAAAGCCTACACGTTAAAAATGCATGTTATGCAAATTAATTGTTCCACCGGGGCTGTAACTCGACCCCGGCAAAAAAAGCACGAAGGGGGGGCATAAATATGCGAGTGGACCTCCTTTGTTCGACGTTTAGCCACCTCCGTGGCCCCTGTAAAACCATTAAACGAGGAGGACTTCTCCCAGGAGCCCGGCATTCCTCAGATTCCTCCAGTCTGATGTCAGAGCGGAGGGGGCGGCATCTGGACAATGCTGCCTTCAGGGCCCCCACCGTGCCTGCGACATTCGAGCTCTAATCGATGCCGGAATTTCGCACTTTAAAATCTCTTTAGCGAAGACGGATAACATTTTTAGCGCAACGCATTTGCGTCATTTCCCGCAGTTAACAGCAAGGAATTTTGTCGATGTGTAACTGTGCAACTGCGGTAATTCGGCAGGGTTTGGGGATTTTTTTCACTATTACTACCATTTAATGTTTACGTCGGTGGGACAAACAAAGTCAATTAGCTGTCTGGTTCCGTCAAAATATACAACATGTAAATACCAGGACCCGTAAAGCCACATAACTAGTACCTCATTAGTAAACAGTGTGTACATTTTCCAAAATGTCAGCCTATGACAGGAAGTTGTTGAGCAATTAGTGGCTTTTACCATTAACTCCTCTTACACACCAAGTCACACACGTGGCCCCGACTCCTTTGGGTTTTCTCAAAACAAAACGCGGGACCACGTCTCACCAGTTGTGCAGCCTATGGTCGGTAAGAGAATGACTTTCTCTCTCAGTTTGTACGGAATCTCCAAAACATATCCAATAATTACGGAGTAGGCAAAGAAAAGTATGAAAATCCAAATACATCCATGCATTTCCTTCCTATCATCCTGGAGTATTGTGTGGCCGCTTGGCATTTCTTACCTCCACCTACTTAGAAGAGGTTTCCGAACCACTGCATTACGCCCCCTTCACTCTACAACTCCAGCAACCAACACTCCCGCCTGCTCCTGAACGCCGCATACGCTACTCTCTCCCCTTGTCCCAAACGCCTCCATTGGGCTGGAGGGACCGCTACAATAAACACACCGAAGAAGACCACGTCGCAGTTATCCACCACCAACTTTTTTCCTCCCCTCTTATTCTAATTTACTTTTGCCAACAAAGAAACCCCCCAAAAACAATAAGGACGAAAAAACAGTTGGAGTCGAAGTCGCGTCGGCAGTGAGTTTGCGACTTTCCCCCCCTTTTTTTCCCCCTTCTTCTCTCCTGTGGAAAGTAGCGTTCGTGCGGTCCAGGAGCCTCTCGAGGCTTCCTGCTCCTCCGCGCCCGAAGCGGTTCCGAGGAGCATAGCGACATGTGGAGTAAGAGCCGCTCGCCGTGATTCCCCACGCGTCCCACGAGCCGAAGAGGAGTTTCTGCAGCGCGGCATGTAGCGCGAGAGACAGAGGGTGAGTTGTCCCCTCTTGCAACAAAATAGAAAGAAATGTCCTCCGGGAGACCTGTTTGTCCTCTTGTGTCCGAGACAGTCTGGCAGTCAGGGAGAACTCAGGCTCAGGCCAAATAGCTCAAGCCACGTAGGGCAGACGGTTTATCCCAAATACTCTCATGCACCCCCCCCCCCCCCTCCAGATAAACATACGTTAACTAGAGACAGGGCCCCCACACTAAAAACACCAGTCAGCTTCGGCCTACTGGAGGTAGAAGAAGGTTCCTCCATGGAGCCCTCTGCAGGAGCCTCCCCTTAAGATCCAGTTTGGACATCTCTTGGGGAGGCCAAATGGGTTACATACCCCATGTACCCCCCCCCCTGGATTACCAACATCCCACCCGTACTACAACTAGTACTACTACTACTACGAGGACCAGACTCGCTGACCCTGGAGTCAGTCCACCAGACACCGAGGGGAGGGCAGGGGGGGCGTCTCAAAGGTCACTCATGCTCTTTGCATGATGGGTTAAATGTAGCCAGGTGATGATGTCATTATCACCTTTGTTGCCCTGCACACACCCTGCGTGCGCGCCGAGCAGGCGTGTTGGTGTGAGAGTATGTTGGAGATGTGTTTGGACACGCAGCAACATTGCTGGGGAAGATAAAGGGACCAGGAGAGTTCTGTAAGGGCCGATGGAGCATAGCTGCAGGAGGCGTAGGCTGTGTGTGCGCGCACACACACACACACACACGCATGTATACGCACACATCTGGCTGTCTTTATAAGCTTTAAGGCATACTGTGTAAATTATATGGTGCCAGAGCAAGTGGCTCGGAGGTACACGCCGCCGTTTAAAAAAACACAAGGTTGTAGGTTCCGCGTCCCTCCGTCCTTCTCGTCCCCTCGCGGCGAGGCTTCTCCAAGAGGACGAGAGGTTGAATATCCGTGCAGGAAAAGTGGCCATTGCTCGGGTAGACGGTGGAGCTTTGCTGCAGAAGGAAGTCAGATTGTGTACGTGAGGCGAACGTGCCATTTTGCTGCTCGCGCTGCAGAGGAAGAGCGGGGCGAAGAAGGTTCTTTGTTGTGGTCGTCGCGGCAGCTCACCTGAAGGCCGGGAAATGCACAAAGCGTCGCAACGTCAAACGGTGCTTTCTCAGGAAAGGGGGCGTGACCTTCTTTCTCTCCCTACGCCCTGTTTCTCTTACTTTAATGGGGTCCAGTTTTCATCATTCTAAATCAAATACATTTGCTTTTTTTATTTGCAGCCTTAAATGTAATTGTCATGTTAGTTGCAGCTGGGTCACATTCTAATCACACAACACATTCATTGAAACACAGCAATAAGCTTAACAACGTACAAAAAAAAGTCACCCTGATACTTTGCAACAATGTAACAAACGATGTTTTGCAATCTGGGCAACTTGTGTGTGTGTGTTTCTTGTCGTGTGTTGGGCCTCGCGGTGATGCGTTTGTCAGAGTTGTGTAAGTTCTGAGCTCGCTGGCAGCCGGGCCGACAACAACAGGGCAGGACGGCGTGCTGCGACTCGCCCAACTCTCCCACACTCCGGCGTACACGCACCTACCAGGTGCGTGTCAATCACTGCTGGCTCCGCCCCCCCCCCCTACACCCCTCCTTTGTGACAGGTCAGAGCCCCCCCACTCTGATCAGCCCAACAGTTGAATTTCCCCCTTAATGTGGCTCGCACGGGGGCCTAATTGTCCATAAAAGACTTCTTTTTTTTAACGTGTTCCGGGGGGAGGGAGAAGCAGCAGTTTTCCGCTTGATCGGCGGTTTCTCACGCGTGAGCGTTCCTTCCCTCGCAGCCGTCGGCCGCGTCGTCGGGTGCAGCCGCGGGGAAGCAGTAGCAAACCGGCGCTGCTTTCATAGGCCTGTAAACTCCGCGACTGTGGGAAAAACACCCTGTGGCTTTTTTGGGGGGGGGGGGGGGGGGGATTTAAGCACGTGTGTCTGGAGTCGTGGTTGTGCGTACGGTTGTGCGAGTGTGATGTGGTTCCCAGGATGAGGAGGGGAGGTGGGGGGGGCATGGAAAATGTGAACAGCACTGCGGGTTTGGCCCGTGGCTGATGGCCCTGTGTTTTCTGTTGTTGAGGACAGGAGAGTCTCCCCTAATCAGCCTCGCTCCATCCCCCGTCCCCCCTCCCCCCCATCGTCCCAACCAACACTGTACCAACATGATAAGAGCCTGAGAAGCGCCGGTGTTCCACCTCTTCTTCCCTCTCTCTCCACATCCTCTCTTATCTTGAGGCCTTTATTTTCTCCATCGGGCGTCGCTGCACTCCCTCTCCCCCCCCCCCCCCCCCCCCCCCCCCCCCCCTCTCTCTCTCTCTCTCCCTCTCTCTCTCTCTCTCTCTCTCACATACCTCCAAACTGTCCTCGCCTTCCGTCTCCAGTTACCAAACCAACCGCGCGGTTTCACTCCTCTTTGATCCTCTGCCCTAGTGGAACATGTTTAGGCATTCACCATCTATTACCGATAACCGCGGCGCGGCGTTGCACCCCAAGAACACACATCGCCGTTGTGTTCCCGCGGCTCCCTTTTTCGAGAATGACCTTTATGGATGTGCGGACAGTCACTGTCAGTGACGTAGAAACTGGAGCATCTCATCAGTCTCCTTTTTGTATGCTGGTGCTGATGCAAACTACTTGGACGCCGCTGGGCGATCGGCTAACGCCGTGGTCGTGCTGATACTAAAAGACGACATCCCGAGCGACGGCCCCCGAGCGATCGGGGCCAACGGGCGCAGGCATGCAAGAGGAGCGTCTTCCTCACTCGCCGCACGCTAGACCTCATGTGTGCCCTCGGTTGAAACCTTTTAAACTGCTCAGAAGAGTGTGTGTGTGTGTGTGTGTGTCAAACTACAGATGAGGCTCCTTCCCTGTCTGGATGTCACCTCTGTGCGAACGCTGCGTGTTGTGTGTTTTTGACCGTTGCTGTGCGCTCATGGGGGTGCAGAGGTGTGTGTGTTTGGTTGTGTTTTTGTCTCAGACGTGGTGCTGGACAAAGAGAGAGGGGGGGAACGAGAACGTGAGGAAGCAGATGCGCTTGGTAGGAACACACTGTCTGACCGCGCAGCTCCACCATCTGTTTGCAGCTGCTGGTGCTTGTGTGTAACAGACAGTACATTGTGTGTGTGTGTGTGTGTGTGTGGGGGGGAGTGGGAGTGAGTATATATAGTGGAAAAGTTTATTCCTTTAAGTCGAGGAAACGTAAAGGCAGAGTTCTATGTTTAAAAAAAAAAAAAAGAAGGAACACACACACCGTGTCGGATAACGGAGGTCTCTTCTGTCTGCCTAAGGCATGCTGGGAAAACAATGGTCGCGTACAGTGGAGTTACGCAGTTTGTGTTTTACTGCCCAGTGAAATGGGAACTCCGTCTGATCCGGGGTCAGCTCCCAGTGGCTGCTGCTTCCCAGACGGGCTTTGTCCGTGTCTATCCAGGAATGTGTGCAGACTTCAGAGCCTTATTAACCCCACACATCTAACCACTGAGCTTGGGGAGGAGGGGGGGGGCGTTATTTAAGACATCTTTTGAAGCCCAAAAAGCCCCGATTGCACAGCATGAAGCCTCTCAGCTGTCTATAATACTTCTTTCTATTGTCAGAAAAAGCACAGCCTGAGCACAAGTACAACTTTAAGTAAATCCTGAGGAGAATTCCTTCCATGTGATCCTGGTTTTAAGCTCGTGGACCCGTAAAAAGGGACTTCGGGGCAGCGAGGCGCTTAACCCCCTTTTTTGTTTTGCCCCGGCGCTCATGTGTAACCAGGGTGGGGGGGAGGAGCCAGAGGGTGGTGTTGGTATTTCAGACGGGTGGACGAGAACCAGGGATCCGATTGATTGAGTTACACACGCTGTCGCGTCCTCAGCTCCGGGCCGCCTGCGTCTAATGGTCTTAGCAGTGGGCGACAAAGTGCTGTTTTGTTCCCGCTATTGTGTGTCTGTGAATGGAGCAAAGTGAGGGACGGGACGCCCCGAGAGGGAGAGGGACAGAGCACAAACACAGCACCCAGACCAGCAGCTCTGTTCCTCTGCAACGTCCTGATTCTCCAAGTCCATTTCCGTTGTGTTGTTTGACCTTGAGATGAGGTTGTTTTGCTTTGCTTAAATCTCCCCGCGCACTGCGCCGAATTGGCACCCGACTCCCGCGGAGAGATGACTGGCTGTAAAACATCACACCCTGAGGGGGAGAACCTGTGTAAACATTGTTTTTTTTAACTCATTTTGCACCCGTCTTTTGTCAGCTGTTAACTCATAACACTGCACGGCTGTTAAACCGCGTTCCCATTAGTCACCGCCGCGCAACACCTGTCGGGCCCTTGGGCCCCGCCCTTGGTTCCCGCACGGAACAGTTTACCAGGAAAGAGTCACCGACTTATATCCTTGTGATCGATCTCGCTCACTTCAGTAAATGGGTCTTTGATATTCTTTTTTTGATGCTGTCCCATGAAAGGGCTGCTGAAGAGTAAACGCCGATAATGTAGCATCCAGGAGCTGTTTTTTGATTTTTAAAGGTAACTTGTAACTCATTGAAAACAACAGTTAGTCGTGATGTGTTGATGTGCTGCGTGGCCCAGAGAGCAGCTTCCTGCAATAACATTGGTGTTATTAAAAGAAATGCACATCGCCCTGGTAGCTCGTATCACAGAGGCTGCTCCTATGATTTGTGATTCACGCGGCGGTGCGGTTAAAGCGTACGCCACAAACATTTTTTCCCTTTCTTTTTTATTTTCACCTTCATGCCACACTGACCACACTCGACTGGAGGGGATGGAGAAGAAACACAACAAACCATCAGAATGGTTTTTCTGTATTTTTAGCCGAAGCTTGCCTTCCTGAAAAAGAAACAACCCTTATTCCCTCAGCTTCCCCTCTCGTTTTTTTTCTCCATGCCACAAAATTACAATGTGCAAATTCGTAAAAACGCACACGCCGTTTTTTTTTTCTCGCACACTGGAAATAAACACAAAGGTCGTAAGTGGATGTTGCTGCAGCGGCGTTGAGGCGTTTCTTTGTGTCGAGGAGCGGGTTCGGTCCTCCGCTATTGTCCGTCTCAAACACACACACACTTCCAACCATGCCGATGATTACACGTCTAAACTGCTGTGTAGTCCTTTGGCTAACCTTTGCAAACCTAGCGTGTGTGTGTTTGTGTGTCTGTGTGTGTTTGTGGTGTGCTCTGTTCATGCATGTCTATGTTTGTACTCCACACAGTGAAAGTCTGCCTCTTTATTTGTGTCTTTGTGTGTTTATCTGCATCTGTAGTCCGGTTGACGGGGATCTCGCTGAAACCTTTGCGCTTTTTGGAACGTTTTTGGAAGGTTTTACCGGCCACCTGTGATGTCACTTCCTCTACGGGGGAGCGTCACGGGGGCGGGGCTTCTCTTCAGGTGGCGGTTCAAATCGCATATCGTCAAGCCAATTAATTCACCTTGAAGCCCGTGTGTGTGTGTGTGTGTGTGTGTGTGTGTGTGTGTGTGTGTGTGTGTGTGTGTGTGTGTGTGTGTGTGTGTGTGTGTGTGTGTGTGTGTGTGTGTGTGTTTGCATCAACGCCCAATAAAAAAAAAAAAAATAGGATGATGCCACTTACGTTGAGCTGTCTCAGATGGATTCAGGAGTAAGGAATGTGTTATGGCTTCCAAAGGGCTCGGCTGGTACAAAAGAAAAGTGTGATTCAAACCCAGCGAGACTTGCTCGCTTGGGTCTTTTTTGCACACACACACACACACGCACACACTTTTCCTCCTTATGGTGCATACTTGCGTCAGGTGTGCTCTGTTTTTCCAGTCATGGCAGAGAGGAATCCGGGCCGGGGTCAAAGCTGACTATCAACAGCACATTGCTGAAGCCCGAGACAAGAAGCAACACGTCCACTCCATCTTTACTACCCCTCCTCCTCCCTCCCCTTTCCTCCTCCCCTGATCACTGGAGCGTTGTCATGTTGTCGGGTCTTGGTCGTTTTCATCCTCCCCTTTGTCTGTTTTTTCTCTCACTAGCATCCATTGATCCATTTTCATGCACTTTGTTTGTTGAGAAGAAGTTGTTTTTTCCTGCTGGGAAGATGTGGAGACACTTTTTTTGGGGTGGGGGGGGGGGGGTCGTAGTACATCCTGTCTGACACCACCCTTAAAATGATTTTTTTTTTAGTCTGCCTTTCCTGTCTTTGCTTGGCTCCCTCACCAAAGTTGACATTTTTGTTGCAATATTAAAGAATTTTACGAGTTTCTCAATGACAACCGTCGGCAGTTTTGGCGGCAGCGTCCGCGTGTGTGATCCTACAACACCCGGCGCTCTGCGCTCCCGACATCTGGGGCTGAGCTGCTTTTGGGCAGGGAAGGCGGGAAAAAAGGGGAGATAAAAAGGAAAAGGAAAGGCCTCCCACACAGGCAGATATGAGACTTTGAGAGCTCCATTAGTTCCTCAAAGCCAGCTGCTGGGTTCAGATGGATGTCTGCGCTCGCCTGTTTGATGTCCGATCATCCGCGGCCTCACATCTCCGCCTCTGTCTCCCGGCTTCGCCCGACGCTGGGCCTCACGGGGCTGCAGAGACAGCAGCTGCCGTGACTATTTTTTTCTTCTTCTTGTTCTTCTTCTCCTGTCTGCCAGGTTTGGAAATAGGATGTTGGAAGGTTTGATAAGAGGGTTGTTTACCGTCCAGAGCAACGCGGGCCAACCGGGGGAAGTTCGGTAAAGAACCGGTAGAAGTTTCTAGTTGACTAATGCATCCCCCTTTTTGTCTTCTCTCCTTGCAGCACCTGTACATCGTCTTTTTCCTCATCGTCCTCCTCCCCCCCTCCGGACATCTTTGGGAATGGGCCAGAGCCTTGCCAGGGTGCAGCTTTCCACCCGGTGGTGCGGCGGCTGGCGTCGTGCGAGAGCGAGGAGGGCAACGGCCACGTCGTAGAGCCGGCCCACCAACCTCCCTCCCGAGTGGCCCCTTTCAACCCTTTTGACTGCGCCGTGACCTCCTGCCAGCCATGCCTTTCCGGCTGATAATGCGGCGCACCCGCCGCTACAACGTCCTGAGCAAGAACTACTTTGTGACGCGGATTCGCCTGCTGGACAGCAATGTGATTGAGTGCACTCTGTCCGTGGAGGCCACGGGGCAGGAATGCCTGGAGGCGGTGGCCCAGAGGCTGGAGCTGCGGGAGGTGAGAATTAAAAGGGTACACGCGAGCTGATGGTTGGCTTGCACTTTGCATTCTACACCGTTTTTATCTCTTATTAACACGTAAAGGCAAGGCGAGGTGATCCTAACCCTGCAAGGTTAACCTTGCAGATGCACTCAAGGTTTTAATGAAGAGTTGACGAGGTTATTAATCCATCACAAAACACCCCTCCCCCCGAGGGACACATTATCTTGGTGTTTAAAGTTTATATAGAATATCATTTGGTGTCAGCTTCTCCATACAAGTGTCACCATTGTGTCAACTAATGTCTTAAAACTAATTAAGCAAAAATAAATCAATGACAAATCAAGAATCACCGTGTTACAAATATCTACATTTTGTTGTCAAATCACCCACATGCATAATGCACGTATGTGTGTGTGAGGGGCTGTGCGTCCCTCCCCAACACCCCGTTGCGGCGCGGGGAAGCGGGGCCCCCTTCGTCTTTCTTCCCCCCCCCCCCCCCCTTCTTTGTGCATTTTCTCTTATTCTTTTTCCTTCTGTCCTCCTCCACATTTTGCACCACCGCGGTTCAGCCACCACCTTTGCTCTGTGCTCACGCAGGTGCGTGGCTTCGCCCGGGGGCTCATTGTTTTGTAGGTGGAGTTCCTTTGCACGTGGGACGGCAGTCTGTTGGAAGGTTGCAGTTTGTTTGACAAGTGATAGACAAAGTGAGACAGAGGAGCGGCGCACGCGTCGCGTACTCGCGTGGTGTCGTCGTATTTGCCAGGTGTCAGCGATGTTATAAATACGGTGGGCTTCACTCGGCGTGCGACCGTCCGCGTTTGCTGTCTCCCGTCTTTTGTATCTGTACCTGAGGCGTTGGGAGCGTGTGCGCTCCTGCAGCTTCTACAACTTTTCATTACAGTAGAGTCAAAGCACGCGGACAGAACAGGTGTGATGACCCACGAAAACGTCATCGTTTTTTACAATTCCAAATTACATGGCTGGCCCTGGATTGTAGTATAGGTCTAAACCCGTTTGACAAATAGCAGACAAACTTTTGCGAGATCTTTTATTGAGGGACATTCTCAGTCTGCCGGCGCGGCGCTCTGACATGCTCGTGCACGGGTTGCAAACACGGGGCCTGAGGGCGAAAACATACCCGAGAAACGGGCTTCTAACGGATTTATACCCTAAATCCAGAAGATGAGGAGCGATAAAAGTCAGTTTTCCAAAGAAAATAGGTATTCTTTGTCCAAGCTGGTTACAGCGCCTGTCGATGTCCTCTGCTCAACCGCGCTCTCGCATGTTTGAGCACAACGGTTTCATTTTCAAACCGCTTGATATCTGTGCACGTTGTTGCTGCTGTTTATTCAGCTGCATTTTGTTTCATTTTCTGATGGCACATGAATCTCTAGATGAAATAATAGACGAGACGCTTTTGTTTTCACTGTGCCTCTGTGAGATTGGATCACTTCCTTTCCCCCAGGGTGATCTTACCGGCATGGGTCCCGTCTAATGTTTTGTTTAATAGAGTTGACGTTAAAGGTCTAATCTGATGTGCAGGGGAAATATGTGCTGGTTAGAGTAGTCTCCTCTCTGCTCTGCTCACTTGTCCCGTATGGATTTCTCAAGTAATTAGTCATTTCTGTCCATCCCGACAACCCTTTATTTCCCATCCCAATACTTGTGTCTCCCTCCTTTACTGCCTCCCCGTTGTTTCTTGCTTCCTCCTCCTCCCTCTCCATCCCTGTCCTGTTTCCTTTTTCTCCGTCGTCTTCACCCCCTTGACCTTGTGAAACACACGCTGACCCTTCCGTCCGTCTGTTCTCTCCCCTCCTGGCTGCAGACCCATTACTTCGGGCTGTGGTTCCAGGGGAAGACCCAGGCCCCGCCACGTCGCTGGGTGGAGCTGGAGAAACCCCTCAAGAAGCAGCTGGACAAGTTTGGCAACGAGCCGCTGCTCTTTTTCGGAGTCATGTTCTACGTGCCCAGTGTTTCCCGGCTGGAGCAGGAAGCCACCAGGTAAGCGGTCTTTAGACAGAAACGCTGACGTACTCGACGGGCGCCACTTGGTTCAGGTATTAATGGGTGGAATAGGCAGAATAATTCAAATGCATCCTTGCATGTAACCATGGCCAAAATTGCGTGGCAACAGGAAAAGGGGAATAGTTTAAACAACTTCCCTACCTTTTTTGGTTTCTTTTTAAAATATTTCCTGCACTTTAAAACGTGTAGTAGAAATGGAAATAATAAAATAAAATAATTTGTCCGACAATATGAGTCCCACAACTCGATGACACGCATCTGATGAAATGTGGAACATATAAGCGCTACTCAAGTTGATCTGGAAGATCCACATTCTCGTAATTATTGACAGAGAAAGATTCATTTTATTCATACAAATACTATATTTTGTCTTGTTAAAAAATGTGTTCAGTTCATATCATAACTTAACATAAATAGGTCTTAAAATATGACGGATGAGAACTCAGCCGGTGGTGCTTTAGCGAGCCAGCCAAGTTCCATTAATGAAAAATAGAGGCCGGCGTGCATAAACTGCACATCCAGCATTTCCTTTCAGTCTGATTATCAGCCGCAGTGTGTGTGAGAGAAAAAGAGTGGGAATGAGCTGCGAGAAAAGGGCGTCCGTGGGTCAGTGTGGTGTAGGGGCCAGTTTGCCACCTCAGATTCTCACACACACACACACACACACACACGCGCCGATGGTCTGCGTCGCACTGAGCTGGTGAATTTGTGGCTTTTGCTTTGCGGGATGTGAGAAAGGTCAATTGCGGGTCACGCTCAGTAATTTCCTTTTTTTTTGGGAGAGGGGGGGGGGGGGGGGGTAGAGAGAGAGTCAGCCAGCACCTTAAACCCTGTCCGGCTTGTTTTGGTGTGTTTGGGGTTGAAGGGGTTATGATGGGGCCTTAGGGGCAATTTAGGGAACAATGGCTGCCTCTTTTCTCAAGCCCCCCTCCCTCTCTTCTACAATCCCTCTACATAGTGTCACTCCTGCTCCTTTATCAAGAGCAGATCTCCACATCACTCCAATCCCACATTTTTTTTTTTTTTTCTTCATCCTCCTTTTTTCTTTCCCTTTTTTTCCTTTTTTGTTTGTCAGGAATGTTGGCACACCCCTCCAGCGTGGGAGGCGGCCCACACATTCCTCCCCGCAGAAATGCTGGGGGTAAGAGGCCCGGTTTCAATTTCTGTAAATGAAATAACACTGTATCTATGAATTGAGTCAGTGCGTCCCTGCGTGCATGTTTGTGTGTGTGTGTGTGTGTGTGTCGGGGGGGGGGGGGTCTGGTTTACAAAACACACACAACCGCACGCACTCACCTCGCACACTCCCCGCTCAGAGGCCAGCTGCAGCCCTGTCACGAGGGTTAGTCACAATACGGCACATTGTAAGGACACACACGCTCCCGCCGGCGAGCTGTTCGCAAAGACTCCGCCCCCCTTTTCTTCACACTAGGTCGAAAAACAAATCTTTTCAAGTTTTTTTTTTTCTTTTTTGATGAAGTTCAAAATGAATTTAATTTAAATGTCATCATTCAGGTCCTTGTTTTTCTCACACACCTGGTCTGGTGGATGCAGGAAGTAAAAGTTTGGGTTGGCAGCTCGTCGTTTGTGTGGTTTAAGTTCGCTGCGTTTCTGCTGTAACACATATATTTATGTGTCGGCGTACAGAAGTGTGTTTGTGCTTGTGAGCTGAAACACAGTGGCAGCGAGTGCAACAGCTTTGTGGGGCGCCAGTGCTTTGATTACGGTTTCACTCAACACTTTTTTGGCCGATTGGTACTTTTCGAATTAAAATGCTACGTCATACTATGTTACTGACCTCAAGGGGGGTTTTTGGTCTCTGGTTTAAAAACGCCTCTGCTGCTCATTTTAACAGCAACGGAGGTCGGAAAGCAAACTGGTGGCCCGGTTTCGACAAACAATCGTCTTCTCTTCTTGCCAGAAAGTGTTGACTCAGCGTCCCTCTGAGTAAATGAGACTTACTGAGAAAGTAATGTGAGTTTTATTATGTGGTCGGGGTCTTTGAAGTTCAGTGTTTGACTGATGTGTAACCTGATGCTAGATCTCCCTCTCTTCCTGTGCATCCATTCTTCTGCTTCTCTGTCCCACTCCGCCTGCAGCTGTGAAAATGGACCTGTGTGTGTGTGTGTGTGTGTGTGTGTGTGTGTGTGTGTGTGTGTGTGTGTGTGTGTGTGTGTGTGTGTGTGTGTGTGTGTGTGTGTGTGTGTGTGTGTGTGTGTGTGTGTGTGTGTGTGTTTGGAGGGGTCTACATATTTACACCGATTTATCAAGCAATTAGGTTAGTATTGCAGGAAAGCTGGAGCCCATGTAAACACTGTTCTCCCAGTTGCAGTCATTGCAGTTTTTTCATGTACAATCAGATGATGATGTTCTAAGAACGTCGAGTTCTTACAATGTTCTGCAAAACCCATTTCAACACAAATGAGTCCGCGATCATGATGAGTTTCCGCATGTTGTGTAGATTATATTATTATAATTCCCGAGACTGTTGACCTTATTTATTGTACTTTTTCAGTGAGCCAACATCAAGTTTTTAAGTTGACACATTTTCCTTGTCTCCCAGAAACAAGGGAATGCTGCCGTCTGCGGATAAATGCTGCTGGTAAGTGCTGTAAAAGTGCTCTAAAACTCTGAAACGCTCCAAAATGTATTTATTTGTTGCTTTTATCTTTTGTTAAAAAGTGTTTTAATTTGAGTTAAGTTGAATGACAAAGGATGATCATTGACTTTTATAACTATAAGAATTTGTAGGGCGTTTTATTGCCAGCCATGTAAACATGTAGATCAGGGTAATGCCTTACTTGTATTACTGGTCATAGCCAACTGGACCTTGTGTGTGTGTGTGTGTGTGTGTGTGTGTGTGTGTGTGTGTGTGTGTGTGTGTGTGTGTGTGTGTGTGTGGGGGCAGCGGCGCTAGTATTTAGTACAAATACCAGACTTACTACTACTCACTTGTAAGTAGATATTATTATGTACCTAACCAGATTTTATACTACTATTTTTTTATCCCACTCATACACATGATGCAGACGGTTTGTGTGTGTGTGTGTGTGTGTGTGTGTGTGTGTGTGTGTGTGTGTGTGTGTGTGTGTGTGTGTGTGTGTGTGTGTGTGTGTGAAACCTTCTGCCTCTCTGATATAAAGGGGGGGGGGTAAAGTTGCCCAGAGAGAGAAAGTGAGGAACCTAAACAGAGAGCTGTTGACCGGGGCGAGGCCAGCTGGCCTCAGCAGCCCCCAAGGCTAACGGCACCAACAGCCTTGGAATCCTAGCATTGTTCAGCTGGTTATTCTCTCTCTCTCTCTCACACACACACACACACACACACACACACACACACACACACACACACACACACACACACACAGCTGTACTCTGTTGTGCCCCTTGCTGATTCAACACATTTCAAAGTGAAATCCTCCCGCCTCCCACACAGCCGTCTGGACCCATTCAGGGTTGAGGGGGTGGTCAGGGTCGTCCCGCCACGGGGGCGGTGGAGGTGGGGGGGCTGAAGCATATGCACACACACACACACACACACACACTCTCGTGCGTGCATGCACACATGCTTGTTGTCCGGGCCGCTTGGACATCTGGCAGCATGTCTCGAGGCGGGCTCCAACATGCGTGGGCACATAAAGGGCCCTTTGTGCCTGTGTGGCTGCCTGCAGTGTCAGCCGAGCGCTCCGCCACGGTGGGAGTCACCGGTACCTCGTGGTGAGGGAAGCTCCGCCTCGTGTCTGTGCGTGTGCATTCACCTGTCGTTACAGCGTGTGGTGATGTCAATCTGACGTACGGGGGTGTGTTTCATCACTGGGACTTGGTTATGTGTGTAGGCTTGCACGTGACAAGATGGTTACGTTTTTAACCACGTTCTGTCACTTTATTGGCTCGTCAAAGAACAGACCTATATTACATAAAAACATGTTTTCTGATTCGTGTCTGTCAGTATCCATGTGCACAGTTTGGGGTTTAATTACCAAAGAGTTGTCCAGTGAAAACTCATGCAGATTACACTCTAGTTTTATTTAGTTGATTTATCTACAAAATGAGTGTATATATTCCTTTTTAATTGAAGATTTCATTGGAAGACATTGTCTTTAGATGTGGCTAGTTGCATTTCAAACACAAACATTTTCCACATGCCTTTGGATGTTGTTTTAATACCCATGCACCACTTACATCTGGCATTGAACCCAAATGCATGCTAATGCAGAGTAATTGTCAGGACTAGACAATAAAGTCACTTTTTTAAAACCAGCATTGAGGTTCTTGCACGTATAGGAAGAACACCCATCTACTCAAAGTAAAAATCTGTTGCTTCAATCAAAATTCTCACGTTAAATCTGATTATTTGTCTTGAGTTCATGAACTGTTAAATTTGGTATCCCCAATTAAATGACAATAACCGAATCATTAGCAACTTTTCGAAGAGAGCACTCCCAAGAACTGCAACGTTGGACACTGCACAACTTGAACAACGAGGTTTTGATTGACAAACTAATTAGTTTTCTTTGAAACAGTCATAGCGAAGTGCTTCTCTTATTATTCATTAGGTCGAATTTTTGGACACATTGTTGTCCTAGTCATGCTAGACAATATATATATTTCTGTTTTATCATAAAAATAAAAAGCTCCATTGTGTGGTTATCGTTGAGCCTCAGAATGAGATCCAACCATTGTGAACCTCAACATTCCCCCAGACCCCATACGGAGAGCGCCGGGAGAACACAGTTTGTAAAAACAAAGTCTACAATCATTTCCCGGGTCCTGTGTGCTGCGTGGCTCCTCCCCCCCCTCCTCCACACCGCATCAGGCCCCGCCCACCGCTGCAGCCGCGCGGAGGCTGACTAATTAGGGGGTTGCCACGGGAACGGAATGGCAGCTTAGCCAACGGGGGTAATGACAGGGTGAGGGAGGAGGGCGGGGCAGATTATAGGCCTGGGAGTATGCTGAGTGGAGCTCAAAAAAGAAAAGAAGTGGGGGAGAGAATGTTGAGAGGAATATGAACATGAAAAATGAAAACAACATAGATGAGGGCATGAAACCATGATGGCACATTGATAGTTTAAAACCGAGACGGGTGTAGGAAAGAACATTCGTTAAGGAATTATCTCAAAAGTGTGTTTGACTGAATGACTAAGCACCGACCGCTCAGTCGTTCCCACATGGAAGTTTGTGTACTGCGACGGTGTGTGTGTGTGTTTGTGTGTGTGTGTGTGCGTGCGCACGCGCGCTCGCGTACGTCAGACAAAGTGCCTCACAGCCCACACCGGAAAGATTCAGCCGGTGGTCTCCACGGCAACAAACAGGAAACGTTTTTACGCAGCTGAGCCCGGTCGCCCTGACAGTGCTCTCCTCGCCGGCCCCTCCATTATCCACAAGACAAACATCCAGTTGGACTGCAGCTAAAAGTGGACAAAAGGAGCTCAGAAACTTAAGGAGCTCTGTGTGTTTCAGCCTCTGGGTTTGTAGGACTTTCACATTATAGGAGAGATGCAAGTAGCCACAACGCCCTGAACTGTGCCATCATATCAACTTACAATCGGCAAAACCGCAGTGCCCGAGTCCCCGGTGACCCTTTTCATTTGCACAGCAGTTCTCCTTATTAAACTCCTCTTTTGTCCAGCTTGTCGCGACAAACCTCAGTCCTTATTAATCACAGCTGCAAGCCGCCCGCCTGCTCGCTGTTTTGACCAAAATGCACGGGCGTATATAATCGTATAGTTCTGCCCCCTGCTGTTGCACATTGGGCATTCCTCTCAAGTCGAGTGAGTCACGGGTATTTCAGATAGAGGTGATTCACTCATTCCTCGCATGCACTCTGCAACAGGCTTCTCTGGCACTGTTTCTTAAACGGCTAACGTTTTCGCCAATACTGTCTTGACGCATACTTTCTACCAGAAACAGATGAGCACGTCTCTGCGGTGTCTCTCTGGTCGTCTGCAGCCCGTTCGGCTGCTAATGTGCCTCGGCCGCTGCTCTCCTTACTCTCTGCGGATGAACTGAAACCCGTCATGTTTTCCAGCTTGCGTTTGTGTAAGTGGTGCTCAGAGCCAGTGTGGCTAGCTGGAAAAATAACATGAACCGCCGACCGAATTCTGAGACATTTCAGGGTTTCCGGGAGCTAAGACGAGTGCCGGTGCTCCCACCCGGCTCGTCAGACGCTATGTCAGCATGCCAATATGTCCACATTGACAATGCTGCTGCGTAGCAAGTCATCAGGCCTCATCTGACGGGGGCCCTGCGGTCCGTCTGAATATAACTCCATTGCATCTGTCCAATTATGTTCGAAATATTTCAGCTCGGACCAAAGCGGTGGACTGACCGACGGGGACGACATTGACGTCCTAAGAGCCTGCTAGTGGCTTTTACTGCCCGACGCCGACGCATTGGAATGACGCTTTTTCTTTCTTTCTTTCCTTTCCTTGTTTCTCTCAAGGTATCAGTATTACCTGCAGGTGAAGAAGGAGGTGTTGGATGGACGTCTCCACTGCACAGTGGAGCAGGGGATCAGACTAGCCGGCCTGGCGGTGCAAGGTGAGGCTCACGCATGCGTGAACAAACATCTCAAGGGAATTATCTAGCAGAGGGAGACGGGCGGCGCAGGAGAGAGGGAGCGAGCACAAACTCACACTTTCTCAGGTCATCTCGACTTCACTACCTAATATGGCTGCATACCAGAGGGAGAGCCTAGTCCACTTGAGTTCCTTTGGTATCAGTCCTAACGCGTGCACACACACACACACACACACACACACACACACACACACACACACAACCTCACTCCATCCCCTCGGTCTTGTTCCTGGGTGCTGTCTGCGTCTCCGCGGGAATGTAAACAGACAGTTTGCTTATCGCTCGTTCCAAGGTTAGCCTCAGCAGCACGAGGAAGACTCTTATCTGTCGGGAGGCGAAGATCCTCCGCTGCACCTCCCTTTGTCCGACAGGCAGCCCAACAGCACTTAAGATGGGCTCCCAGGGCCTATCTGGAGGGCAGAGCGTGTTATGGGTGTGTGGTGCAGGTGGGAGATTAGCGGCGTGCTAATTAGGTAGACGGCTACTTTTTCCGTTTATTCCAAATAAAAGAAATATTTTAGAATTTTCTACAGATAATCGGGTGACAAATTGCTTCCTGTAAAATTAAATTTGAGAATGATTAAATTCTCTAAAGATTTAAACTTTTTTATTCAGAGTAAACGAACAATCTAGCAACGTTTTTAGCAAACATTCAGCAACAGACTGCATCTAACAAATAACCTCAGCGTCAATTGGAAAGATTGTGTTTATCCTTTCATGTTATCTTCATGTGTTAACATCACATACAGTTTTTACCTTATTGTATGAACTACTCAGATATTACAAAATAAAACATATACAATGTTAATACCATCTGGAGTGCGTCAAAATACGAGCACATGGACAAACGTTTCAGAAAGCAGGATTTTTGATTTGAGAAATATTTTGGTCTCGCACATTAAAATCAACTTTTCCCCTCAAAGATTGTAAAACGTGTGTGTTTATTTTTCAGCTGACTTTGGAGACTTTACTCAATTCATGTCGCAGGACTTCCTGCGGGAGTATGTGCTCTTCCCAGTGGTGAGTCCTCAAACCTCCGCTTTGTGTGTGTGTGTGTGTGTGTGTGTGTGTGTGTGTGTGTGTGTGTGTGTGTGTGTGTGTGTGTGTGTGTGTGTGTGTGTGTGTGTGTGTGTGTGTGTGTGTGTGTGTGTGTGTGTGGCCTGAAGGCACACATTCTTGTGTCTTGTGTCACCTGTGCACCTCCCCCCTCTGCACACCTGATTGACGGTCAGTCACCGTGTTGCTGAATCTCTGTCATGAATCCTTTATCACACATTCACCTCCTCCTTGTCTGTCCTATTGGCTGCCCGTTGCGTTGCTCACTCCTTTGCTTTCCCTCAGAACTGGCCCAATGGAGACGAGGTGCTCGAGGAGTGGACCCAGAAAGTCGCCGAGGAGCACAAGAGTCACTGGTACACCTTTTTTAAATTCATTTTCCTCTGTGGGTCGGGTTCAAACCCCGTCGCAGTAAGAACTCTTTGCAAACGGGCCGCCCACGTGAGGTCGCCCTGCCAGCTTCGTTTTATTGTATTTGTTCATGTGTGTTTATGTGGAAAAAGAGCGAAGGAAAGAAGGCGCAGCGATCAGGAGATAGCCGGCGTTCGGTAATGCATCCGTCTGTGCTTTGCAGTCGAATGCAGACCGCCGAGGCCGAGCTGCTGTACATCAAGGAGGTGGAAAAACTGGACGGCTTCGGGCAGGAGAGCTTTCCTGCAAAGGTAGATGGATAACAGAACACCCTCTGCCTTCCACACACACACACACACACACAGTTTTAGAATGTGAGAAGGATGCACCTCTTCTTTATAATATTCATTCTTGTTCCACAGGACAACTACACCAACGATATTTTCATCGGTGTGTCCTTCATCGGGGTGTTTGTCAAACACAGAAACGGCAGATCCATCATGCTCCACAAGTAAGCCCCCCCCCCCCCCCCCCCTCACCTCCCCTCCTCCATCAAATGTAAATGAATATCTAAAAAGTGATGAATTGTGTGTGTGGGAAAATTCAATCCTCGTGTGCGTTTCTCTGTGTTTCCGCGTGTGTGTCAGGTGGAAGGACATTGGCACGATAGCGCACAACAAGTCAGCCATCACAGTGGAGATAACGAGCAGAGACGACACCATCATTTTTCACATGGTGAGTGTTGTGTCTGCGGGTGGTCTCAGCACACACACACACACACACACACACACGCTTTACACAAGGTTTTGAGCTGGAAGTTTAAATAGAAAAACACATTCCCAGACATCCACACACACAAACTTTTCTATAAATACGACATGTTAGTAGCAAATAACGTTTTTTTCCCTCTGTGTTTGTCCCTGCAGGAGGATATGGAAATGGCCAAGTACATTGCTCGTCTTTTCACGGCCAGGCACAAATTCTACAAACAGAACAAGATCTGTGCAGAGTGAGTCCCAAGGCCAATCCGACCACCCGTATCACATATACGCCTGATCATCCGCCATTTAATGTTTAAAATAGAGATCGCCAGCCATTCGAAGGTTGAGTCAGGAAGTGATAATACCAGAACAATCACTGACTTTTTACTTTGTGAATGATATTTAGTCTTTTTCCTTCTCTTTAGGCCCACTCACTCGCCTGTACCAATCAGGAGGAGACCCACCTGGACCCACCGCCCATCTCTGGTAAAGTCGGTTGCTATGGTTCATTATCACCGGTTATTTCTCAGTGGTTTGACAGCGAATGAGACCAGCATGCCGGGGACATGAGGGGAATTTGGGAGGGAGCGCTGTGGTTAGAGATTTGTCCCCGCTCTCCCACCCGTGGAGCCTCGGCGTTAGCATGCGGCGGTGGTGCGGTGGGTGTTGTTGGAAAGTTTGCAAAGGGTGTTGCTGGGTTCGATTTCCGGTACGACAATGAAGGCAGTGGTTTGCGTCTCCCTCCCCGCTGGCCAGACAATGGCTCGAGCTAAATCTGGCACAGTTGTTGTCTGTCGGGAGAGCCGCGGGCCTCACAGCCCCGGAGTCACCTGTTATGTCCTGAAGGATTGCAATTGGACATTGTAAAGAAAACCCGGAAAACTGAAATGCGTCTTCTTAACTGCATTGAATGTGTTTCTTCGTCAGCCGCGGCCCCAGTCCTGTAATTTCCAGTCAATGCATTCCCAGTATGGAGAGCATTATCAGGACACACAGAGCTCCCAAGGTATGTGTAATACACACACACACACACATATATTTAGTCATTTCATCTGCAGCTCACCGCTGTGCCTGCAGTGTGATTTAAGTTTTCGGCCCCCCCGATGATCTCCAGACCATTTCAATGGAGCTAATTGTGTCTTTCCCATCTGACGTGTGACTCACAGCCCTTTTTTTTTTTTTTAACAATCTGCCAGCCAATTAGAGCCAGACGTTTGGGGTGCAGAGCAGTGACATCATTTTGTGCTTCACTCTTTCATTGACTTGTTCACACACTCATTCGGCGCTACAATCCCAAAGACCTACACCCACGTTGGCTCGACGGCAAAAAGGAGCCAGTGGAAAAAAGCTTTGTGTGGCCGTGAGATCATTTTGCAGTGTGACCTCAGGCATCTAACGCTGTTTGTGTGGATGGAGAGCGTGTGTGTGTGTCTGACTGCTTGTGGGCTTGAGATAGTTGCACAACAGAGCATGTTTTATTTGTTTAGTAAAGAGGAATGACATTCATACCACTTTTTCCTTCATTATGGTTGGAAGACAATATTACAAATGATTCCTGGGCCAAGTTGGTCAGCTACTGGGAGGACGTTTTCTGAATTTCTTCCAATGTGGTCGTTAGCGCCGTGAACCAGAGACAAACAACAATTACGCACTTTTGCCACATCAGACGCACCTTTCGGGTGCCACAAATACCGTTTACTGCTTCTAACCGTAAAGCGAAACGCTGCAAAACGCCCGAGCCGCCTCCAGGACACTCAACTTCACGTTTAAACTTCTCCTCTTTGTTTTGTTTGCTTAAATACAAACAACAACACTTTGATTTTTAGACAGCATCTTCCACGATGACCCCTACTACAAGTCGGAGACGAGTCTGGACCGCTGCCAGGTGGACTTTCCCTTCCGTAACGGCACCGCGCCCAACGGCAGCATGTACAGCAGCCCCAGCCTGAGCTCGCTCAACCAGTCCCAGACCTTCGTCCCCGCGTCCCCCATGTCCTCCAGCCTCAGCATCCCCGGCAGCGAGCTCATGCGCCCCGACTACATCCCCAGCCACCGGCACAGCGCCATCATTGCTCCGTCCTACCGGCCCACACCCGAGTACGACGCCGTCATGCGGCAGAAGCGCCGCATGCCCCCCGCCCACCACGACCTGCACAGCCAATCGCTGCGCAGTCTGAACATCAGCAACGCGTGCGCTTACCGCCAGCCTGAGGCTCTGGTGTACAGCCAGCCAGAGATGAGGGAGAGGGGCCCCTATCACGGGCTGGGGCCGAGCCCGGGACCTTACGGCAAACAGGTTAAGGGGAATTATCTCTTTTTTGTTGTTGTTGTTGTTGTTTTGAAGTTCACTGCTCTCTTCTTCATTTAACGCCGTGTTCCTTGAAATCCTCTTGTCTTGCAGATCAGCTACAGTAAGCCAGTGTCGCACGGCCCCCATCAGGGAGGAGCCGCCGGCAGCCAGGGCCCGTGTCATTCCCCTTGTGTTAATGGAGGCGAGGGTGGGGGCGGAGGCGTAGGAAGCTCCATCTCTCACACGGTCAGCACGCCCGAGCTGGCGAATACCAAACAGCAGGGGAACAACGCGGGAAGCAGCGCAGCCACGGCGAACATGCTGAGGAACCACATGTCGCGGCCTCCTCCACCTTACCCCTCCAGCTCCTTCCGCCCCGCCACCAGCACGCCGGATCTGGCCAGCCACCGCCTCCGCTGCATGGGGGGCAGCAGTCCGGAGCTGGTCACCCGCATGGTGCAGCTGTCGGTCAAGACCTTCCAGCCGGACAGCTCGGCCGTGGTGCACCAGTCCCTCCAGGAGGTGAGCGAACCACTGACTGCGGCCGCTAAGCACCGCTCCACCCTGGCTAAGAGACACAGCATGGAGGTGATCAGCAGCATGAGAGGAGGTGGAGGAGGAGGGCTTGAGGGCATTGTGATGAAGAGCATAAATCTCGCTCTTCATCGGAGGAATACTCTCAGAGAACATGTAATGCCCCCTCAGCCCCAGCTCCAGCCTCCACCTCAGCAGCTGCAGGAGTTGCCCATGCAGAGGAGTTCCAAGAAATCCCCCGCGTCTTCTGCATCGCCAGCCGGGGCCTATCAGCATCAGAAGACGCTCTCCAACGCTACCATGCTCATACACAGTAGTGAGAGTGAAGAAGAGGAAGAGGAAGAGGAGAGACCTGAGCTGGATGTTCAAATCCCAGGTCTGAACGAGGACATCAGCATCAGCGCTCAGCTCCAGGCCGCTCTGGCCAAGCTGCCTAACAAACCCCCGCCAGAGTACCCTGGTCCCCCCAGACCTGTCGGCAACGTTCAGACCCGCACCCACAGTCACAACCACACTCAACACCACAACCACAACCCGGGGCCGCAGGGCAGCCAGGGGCCGATGGACCCGAACCAAGCCCTGGGGAGGGCGCACAAGGCCGGGCAGAGCCCGAGTGGCGGCGGGCCTGGATGTGGCGGCGTTGCAGGTCCCGGAGGGACGCTGACCCGGGGGGACCAGGGTGGGGTGAATGGGGCGGTTTTAGGTCCATCCATATCTGAGCCGGACCTGACCAGCGTGAAGGAGAGGGTGAGGAAGGAGCCGGTCAAGGAGAGGCCTGTGTCGGAGCTGTACTCCCTACAGGACAGCATAGTGGAGCGGGAAATAGCTCAGAGGGTAAGACGATGCTCACCATTAACAGTGACCAAAGGTCACTTTATTAATATGATATCAGGAGTAACAATATGAGCACAGGAAAATAAAAACATGATGAAGAATAATAAATAGAATAATATACTATTATATGAATGCATAATTCAAAAGATGGACTAGAATCAATAATAGTAATATATATTGAATAAAACTGTATGTGTATATATTTGAAAACATGTCTTTGCTCATCAGTGATTGTATGGAAACGGTATGTACCAGAGCTTCTAAACACCACGCGGGATCCAGACGTGAAGCGATGCAGCACATCATCCCGTCCGAGACAGAGACACACTCTCCGTGCGGATACAGTCTTACATGTTGCAGTCTGTCGTTTTGTTAGTCCCCCCCCTAGCTGAGAAAAACAGATATTCGGGTGTCGCGCCCTTCAGTGGGCAGCCGGAGGCTCGAGTTTTCACCCCAAACCCCCCCCCCCCCCCCCCCCCCCCACCCCGGCCCGCTAAAACCCTCATAAATCCCCCAGATTATTCTTCGGGTTGGTTTATATTGTGTAGTTCAACTTCATGTTAAGGCACAAACGTTTGTCCAGGTGTAAATTAAATCGTATAATCCCCTTGTTCCAGATTCATGTGAGGCGGCCGGCTGTTTATAGTCCATGACATTCAGAGATGTATTTTTATTATGGAGTCCAAAACAGTTAAATTCCCTAAAGCAGTTTATCTCCTATCTAGAGGACACCCCTGGTGACCCCCAAGCTGTTGTTTTGACTGTCCCCCAAGGGAAGGAAGGAGGTGGAGCTGTCCTGGGGGGGTGGAATAGCCTCAGAGATTAGGTGGGGTAATCCTTGGAGGATGTCGGGGCCGGACAATGTGGGTCAGAGTTGTGCTATCTCGGTAGAGAGGGGGAGAAGACGGGGGGACGGAGGGAACCCGCGTCCTGTACGGAAACCCAGACCCAATAGGTAGGTGGGAATTAACGAAGCTGAAAGAAGTAAAAAATACGCAAAAGAGGACAAAACAAGGATCAAAACAAGTGGAGCAAAGGTGGAAGTAAGATGGAAAAGAAGCAACTACTTTTAGTTGCTTCATTCAGGGCTTTTTAGTTCCCACTTTAAGACAGAATGTAAAGTGGGTCGTCACGGAGAGGTTTCGTCCTACAAACAGGAAAACGATTACGTGCACCTTAGATTGTCCCCTCCCACTTTGAAACGGTCACATGCGCGTCGTGCTCGCCGCTCGGAGGCCAGAGCGGGTCACTCAGTCTCGCAATGCTGCCGGTACCTGTAACCGTGACGCCGGGATTTTCCTCTCTCTTGAAGACGCTGGAGAGGCAGAAGATGTCCGTGGACTCCATGAAGAGGCCGCTGATGATAGCCGCGCTCAACGGCCTCTACGCGGCCCGAATGCCCGAAGACGAAGGGGCCAAGGCTTCCACCGACGAACGGGTAGGATGATTGCTCTTACTTTATCACCATATATCTGTGTATATATACATATATATGGAGTTTTATGTAGTTAATTGTGTAGTATTTTGAACGGTCAAAAAATAGCCTTTTTTCATTTGTTCTGTGGATTGACAATGATTTCATTTTTCAGTAAACTCTATTCCACCCAAACCTTTTGGGATGCATTAGAATATAAATAGTTTTTCTTGTGTAAGAGTCTTTGCATCATTTTCATTTAAAGTAAAGAAAATAACTAATAAAAATAGCTCCAATGTAAAACCAATTTTATTTGTAAGATTGGAGGAGTAACTTTTCAACTCTTAATTCTCACCTGTCGGGGATAAAAGCAGCTTTCGCTGTAAAACTCTCCGATAGCCGCGCTATTGGAGGCATTCCGCTGTCCGTTGGCTCCCTTCCGAGTGTGGAGGTGTGAAGCGCAGCCATCGTCCAGCCGGTTGCTAAGCCGAAGGGGACGGGCCCTAAGTGGGCTGTGGAACGCGTGGCATGGTGGTGCTTATCGCCTCTAGGCCCGCCGGTATGTCAAGAATGTGACCCGGCGCAGAGCGCCACACAGAGATGCTGCCCCTCTCCAACATGACTGGCCTAATAGACACGCCCCCCCCCTCCCCCCCGTACTATGCTTAGTTGGTGCTTAGAGTTCTTTTGATGTTGAGGTCAGTATTGTGATATAAATGTCGTATAGCGTCATTATGAGGAGATTTCTGGATCCTTCTGGTCTGGACGGCCTCTCGGGTGTGGTGGAATGCAAACGAATAAAAGCCCCTTGGGAACTGAAAGAGAAACCTCCTGAATGATGTGAGTGACACCCCCCCCCCCCCCCCCTCTCCAACCTCACCCCCTTCTCTTTTCTCTCTTTCTCTCTCTGTCTGTCCAGTGTAAGACCTTGGAGTTGAAGCTGGAGGAGGAGCGCGTCTTCACCGAGTATGAGCAGGTGCCCAAGAAGAGGGCCGACTGCGTCGTCACCACGGCGACGCTGCCCGAAAACCTGGAGCGCAACCGCTTCCGCGACGTCGTTCCTTACGAAGAGAACCGGGTCGAGCTCGTGCCGAATAAAGAGAACAACACGGGCTACATCAACGCCTCGCATATCAAGGTGTTTGCTCGGGGGGGGTTCACGGGTAAAACGTTAAAGACGCGTGTGAAAGAATATCCGGGGTGGTTCCAGTTCCTCCTTTGTGCTGCTTTTCGTCTCATGCGTGAGAGTCATGAAAGACGGGAGGAGAAACGCTCTGCTAGTTAGGTGGTCGTTCCTAAGCTGCCAACGGCTCGGAGGAGAAGGATGAAAGGCCGCCGTTGGAGACTGTTTGTGCCTCTTTAAGCTCACAGAGCTCGCGGAATTCAACCGAGAATATGGTCCAAACTCCAAACCCTCCTAATTCAACCTGAGCCGCTTCTCACTGGCGTCCTATTCATGCTCAGCTGCAAACAGCGTGTGTGCACAAGCTTGAGTGCACGCATGCGTTTGCACTTCACCAAAGCGCCCGCTGCATCGCTGCCTATCACGGTGTAACCCTCTTACTTTCCCCGTCTTTTAAGGTAGCTGCCACAGAACAAAAGACCTGATTTATTCCCTATCCCATCTCTTAACACACTGTTGACAGTCACAAGGTAAATCAGCTGCGACGTGTTCCTTACGTAACGGCACTCCACAGTCGATGTGGTTGGAGTTTATTGAAGAAGGGAAGTTGTTCGGTGCCGTGTGTGGCCTTGTGATTATTAATGAGGGACCGCAAAAGAAAGACAGAGAAGAGGGGTTTTTATAAATGAAAGAAAAGACTCAAGCTGTGTTCATACTGCCCTCCAGTGGTGTGCAAGATTATTGTCTTATGAATAAGCTCTTAACATTTAATATATATTAGTTTGAAGGCATCCATTTCCGGGCAATGCAAATTTGAATTTCTTTAAAAAGTAGTTTAGCTTATTCATTCGTTTGTAGGCTGATAATCGTTTGCCCTGCAGTCCCTGTAATTGATTCTTTATGTGTGTGTGTGTGTGTGTGTGTGTGTGTTTTCCCAGGTGATGATCAGAGGGGAGGAGTGGCACTACATTGCCACCCAGGGTCCGCTAGCCAGCACCTGTGCCGACTTCTGGCAGATGGTCTGGGAGCAGGGGGTCAACGTCATCGCCATGGTTACTGCTGAGGAGGTACACACACACACTCACACACTCACACACTCACGACACGTGCAGCGTCAGACAGCCAGTCTGTGAAATATAGGAAGACATTGAGAGTTAATGTGTGTCACTGCGTCTTTGTCTTGGTTTTTATGTATAAATGTTAGAGCTCATTATTCGTTCCTCTTATTTCCCTTCTCCGTCTCTTCACCCAGGAGGGCGGCCGATCCAAGAGTCACCGCTACTGGCCCAAACTCGGCTCCAAGCACAACTCAGCCACCCACGGCAAGTTTAAGGTGACCACCAAGTTCCGCACCGACTCAGGCAACTACGCCACCACGGGGTTAAAGGTCAAACACCTGCTGTCTGGCCAGGAGAGGACCGTCTGGCACCTGCAGTACACCGACTGGCCTGAGCAGGGCTGTCCCGAATACGTCCAGGGATTCCTATGTGAGTGTCATCATCGTCATCATCAGTGTTTGAGATACAAGACGCAATGTTACCGTCATTATTTATGTCTAATTAAATTAAATAGTTGCAGAAAAATCCCTCATGTCCTTGGACAAAGATTGTGATTTTAATCCGAAAGCTTAGTTCTCGCGACTCTGGTCCTCTCCCTTGCAGCCTACCTGGAGGAGATCCAGTCCGTAAGGAGACACACCAACTCCATGCTGGACACCTCAAAGAGCCTCAATCCTCCCCTGGTGGTTCACTGCAGTGCCGGGGTGGGTCGCACCGGAGTGGTCATCCTCACCGAGCTCATGATAAGCTGCCTGGAACACAACGAGGTGGGTGCACGCTGGAGTCACACGGCGCAAAGAGTTGGAATGTGCTATTTAGGATCACAGCATGCACTCTGCGACAACATACATGCGTCCTACGTGTAAAGGAATTGATACACAGCTTCGTTTTGGGGGGAAAATGTGAATGAAGCATAAAGATGCGGACTGTGTTACTTAAAGGGCGAGTCCACAACCAATGGACACTTCTCCCGTGTGCCAAGACGCAGATACAAACGGCTAAACCACCCTGTCTCCTCTGTCTCTCTCTCTCTCCTTCAGCCCGTGGAGGTTCCCACCATGTTGTCGGAGCTGAGACAGCAGAGGGTGCTGATGGTGCAGACCATTTCCCAGTACACGTTTGTCTACCAGGTCCTCATTCAGTTCCTCAAGAACTCCCGCCTCATCTGAGCCCGGTACGCTGACCTTTGTACTTACGTGCCGTTGCGGAATGACACCAGCCGACGGCAATGGTCCTTCAAAAGATTCATGTTGACTTTCTATGTGGATTTACATCCAAACTCACCTCAAAGGGGGAAATGATTTGGTTGGGCCTTTACAAAAATTGACGACCATTTCTCCTAATATGTGTATGTAGTCTATCCCCCCCCCCCGGTTTAATTCTTGGACAAAAACCAACTGTATAATTTTTACCCATGTAAGCGTGTGTGTATGTGTGTGTCTTCCTTTGGATCTCCTAACAAATACTGTAAGGATTCAAATCTGTTTTTATTTTGGATCGATTCCAAACCCGTCACCCTTCTCATTCATTATTTAGCAGTATGACGCATGAACAGTAATTGGCAGCAGTATTCGTTCTATTTTACATACTCTGTAAGAGTTTGCCAAACTAAAGTATTCATTAGATCAATGTTCCAAAATGTTACTTACCTCTTCAACACAGTATTGATTAATACAGCAAAAATGTACATCGTTTACATACATATTTATTTCTATCAGGATTGCGGCGTTGACGAGCATGTTCATCCTTGAATCTTTTCACCCTTCTTTGAAGGTGTGGTTCATCTTGAATAGTGCAGCTCCTCATGATCCCATGCGTCTAATCACATGTCTCACCTAAAAGCATTTCAAAAGTCAAAAGTGTTTCTTCAGTGAATTTCATCATTTGTTAATGCATCATTTCACAGCTTGTAGTCAATAGAGAAATGTGTCTTGATACTGCGGACACTGTCTAATCTGACTCATTGTGCCTTACTGACGCGTGCAGCAGGAGAAGCTGAGGGCCCACCTTTTGTTTTGGGTTCTCAATGGGTTTGGTTTCTCTCGCATTTATATATAAATAGGTATTACAGTGTTTCCCACACTAATTTGTGGCGGTGCGCCACAGATTCAACACCGGCCGCCGCTCATTGTGTTTGGTGTATTTTTTTTAACGCTATTTAAATCACGCAGCGTATTCGTTCAGCTGCATTCCCTCTCCCTGCTCTCCCTCCATCTCTGTCACTCACTCACACACACACACACACACACACACACACACACAGCCCCTCCCCCCCGTGCACACCGCGTCTGTCTCGCATTTCATGAAAACGTCCAGCAAAATCCGTCGCTCTGACAGAAGTTTGCAGACTTTGCGCAAACAGGCTGTAACAACAAGTAGCACTACAGCTATGGGAGTTGTATGTAGTGTGAATTGTGTAGAGTTATATCTTGCGATGTGTGTTTTAGTACGACGTTTGAGTACCGTACCCCCCCCCGGGACGTTGGATCTGTGGGAAACACTGTATTACCTCTAAAGATTAAATCTTTAAATTTGTATTTACTAGTTTGTGTTTTCTTAAAGGAACGGTAATATAATAATAAGTCTCTTGTTAAGGATTTGAATACTGAAGAATACTGATGTACAAAAATATGCAGCCTTTAATATCTGATCCAAGCCCAATGAAAAAATTACAATCACGTATTTGCTTTTACGTGTTACCTTATTCTTTCTTTTTTTTCTGAATGGTAATGCGAAGTCCAGAACGACTTTCTACAGAGTATGTTTTATAAAGTTCTCTTTTCTTTTGACTTGGTACCCTAAAAATACCGTAACATAATAAACTATGCATGCATTTTTATATTTTATTGTATATATTCTCAAATAAGTAAAAGCTTTGTGCTCTCTTGACATACAAGTGTTTTGTTGCACTTCTGTTTTATTTGTGACAGTATTTCCTCACACGGCATTCCACTGTTTATATTTAATTTTCCCCCTCAATTTTCCCTTTTGGCAAAACTCCCAAATACCTTTCAGTTTGTGTACATATGTTTTGTATATGCGTTTTCAGTGCATCAAGCCTTTTGTTTTTCTGTCCCCAGACATGTATGAAGCTGTCATACTCTCTTCTTGTGTAATAAAGCCTTATTTTCTTTAAGACCGTGGCCACAAATTCATTTATTTGGGGTTCGTATCTATAATTTCCTTTTCGTTGGTGATGATGTTTGTGATGATGAGCACTCACGCAAACACAGACACATCCTCCCCGATCGGGTTACAGTCAGTTTAGCTTCAACAGGAGCCGTGTGGTGAGGCAGCTGTCCCGAGAGTCACTCAAGACACGAACGCGTCCAGCTGACAGGTTCGGTCGCAAGGCAAAAACGAGCAGGAAATCATTAACAATTTTCGATTTTCTAACGCTCAACCTCAGTGAAAAGCTCAGACGTTCCCGTTGCGCATTAAATACACGTTTGGTACAAACAAACATTCAACAAACTAATGCATTCTCACATACATAAAGCTGATGTAAAAAGTTTAATGTCAGTTAACGTCAGTTCTAAAAATAACAGAAAATGGCTTCGGTTCTGTAAAGCTCCTCTTCAAAGGAGGGTATGAAGTCTTTACTTTCTCCTCATTGTTGTGCCATCTCTTTGCGCAACTCTGTCAAGTAGAAGTGATCCTTCCCGTGAGCCACCTCCATGATGGCCATTGCCTGAACACACACACAGACACACAGTTTATTGGCGTTATACAACGTGTCAAACCAGCTGAAACTGCAAAAACTAAATGCTTGGTAATCTGGACTTGAAATGTAATTTTCACACTACGTTGTATTCAGGTGAACTTCGATCATCGAATGTCTGCTGGAGAATTTGTTTAAAATATTGGTTTAAAAAAAGGTCCAGTTAGCGGTGCTTTTTACCTTCTTGAAAGCGCTGACACCCGCTGAGCGCCTCTCGAGGCCCATGTACAACCGGCCCAACTTCAGATACATGGAGGACACATTCAGGGAGAACGGTGGATAGAACTTGCTGCATTGGAAAGAGAGCAAACATGCTGATGAGCTTTCCATCATTGCTTTTAAAGAGACAATTATCTGTGACCCACGACGCCATCGGTAAGCGTCCGTGCTCTCGTCACCTGTAATGCTTGATGATCTTCTCGCCGTACCGGAGAGCTCCTTCTGGGTCCTCCATGTAGAGACAAACCCCCATGGCCTGGTACATCACGTGGACCATGTAGACATTGGCGTCCTCAAAGATGGATCCCATCTCCTCCAGGCTCTGTTCACACATCTCCAGCAACTCGCTAGGGGGTGCCATGGAGTCAAGGACCGTCTCAAAGCAAGCTGAGGTTCTACTGAAACACCACAGGGCCTTAAGAGCCCCCCAAAGCCGCCATGCAGAGAAATATCTTCTTAAGGGAGCTCGGTGAGCGCTCATCCTACCTGCGAGTCTCCGCGAATTCAGTTTTTAAAAAAAGTGCAGGTGAGCGGTGTTACTCCGTGACAGGATGTTCTTTATGTGCTTGACGGCCCGGAACTCTCTGACGGTTTTCCTGGCGTAGCGCACCATGTTGCCGATGGCCTGCGGCTCGACGGGGTCGCTCCGCTTACGCACTCTCAACTTGGCCTTGTCCTAGAGGTGGAAGACAGGACACGGGGGGGGGGGGGCCTGAAATGTCACACGCGAGTTTACGACGGCAGTATTGCATCGTGTGCTTTGGTCTCGTCCCACTCACGCCGGACTTGCTTTTACAGTCCCGGCAGTCGCAGGTGAAGTAATAGGACTCTCTCAGCCTGTTGTTGCGGTCGTCGGTGGGATACATGAGGTCTATGTAGCTGATGAGCACCTGAAGGGGGAAATCACACCGACTGACAAACACTCTTCCTTTCCACGCTCGCCTCCCTTCTTGTTTGTGTCGTGTCCAATCGGCAGGTTACGGGGGGGGGGGCGAGTCTGAAAATAACCCCACGGGCCTCTTGAATCAGCTGCTGCATCCGCCTAAGAAACCCCTGCTTGTGCCAGGGATTCACACTCCCGTCTTCGCCTCTCAAGCTTAGCCTCCAGGGCTCGGTGGGATTTAAGATGCCGCCTCATTGTACGATATCATGTTAAGACTCCAAAGCCACCTGCGTCCAAGGGAAGCAGCGTAACCACAAAACGATCAGGTTTGTTTGAAAGATCTATAGGAAAAATATATTGTATTGAATATTGTTGTCACTGTTAGAGTTTAACCTGCAAACCTGATCCCGATGTGCTTTGGTTGCCCGGCAACCGACAGCGGAAAGTTATTGCGCCCATAAATAAGCCCGAAATATCCCATTTATCCCATAGTCCCATTTGTGTTCATTATTAAGCTTTAGAGGTGCTGGCAGGGATTTCTTTATTACGCTCCTTGTGTCAAATCTTTATGTCCGGCCAAGTTAATCTTGGCGAGTGACATTTTTCTGAAATTCTTCTCACGAAATTGAAAAAGGCTCGGCGCCAAAATGTCGACATATTCCTTTAAACCGAAGCGGAAACCGATCAGGAAATAATCCCTGTATGTTACAAGGACGTAGTAAGAATTCAACACAAAGCGTTCGCTGTTTCTTCAGTGTGTTGGAATTTCATTTTTTTAACCCCCAAATTTGGGAGGCAGCTCACAGACGGACACGTTCAGGCTGACCCCAGTGAACCCGACCCCCCCTCCCACGCCGGCTGTACCCTCTCCTCACTTCATCTCCAGGCTCCATGTTCCGCACCGCTCGAACCTGCGCCGCCGTGCCGTCGTACGTGACGATGGCGCTGGGGAGGCAGCTGTGGTTTATCAGCGCCACGCTGGGAAAGAGACGGACAGAAGGAACCCGATAAGAGAGAAAAATCACTCTGCTTTCACACCGCGGACGAGGCAGTGCTGACTAATCTACACAGGTCACGAGTGTCGCTTTAAGTATACCGGCGACCCCGTCGGCCACTTGGGAAATAGCTTCAAGTGAGCTGAGCGGGGAATTCGCTCTCGCGGCGGGGAGGCGCTTTTTAACACCTCGTGACAAACTGGAGAAGAAAAAGTTGCCTTGATAGAAATGAACAATCGCAGCTTTCAGCGCTCATGGGAAATCATGGCTGTCCTTTTTTTAAGAACAATTAAATGAACTGAGGGAACTAACACATTACGCAAAGCATCCAGAAGGAAACAAAATGAGCTTCGCAGGAAGAAGATTATTCCCTTTGTAACGTGCTGGACCTGTACGTAGAATACAGAATGTGCTCGTATGCATGTGGGTTCTTACTCTGGGTAGAGTGCAGTACCCAGGTGAGACAGCTCATCGTCCTCTATGGTGAAACCATTACAGGCCACCTGTTGAATAAATGACAAAGAAAATGCATATTACCAATCGTTAGCTGGTTTTTCATCAAAACATATATGACCTGCACGCCTTTTTTCTACCTTGACTTCAGTGGTTGTTGTCAAGCTAATTGTGAATATTACTGAATCCGTGATAAGAACAGCAAAAAAAGACTCTTATACGTATGATTATTTTTATGTGTCTGTGTGTGGTACCTGTGAGATGAGCGCGAGAAGGTCTTTGTGGTCGGGAAACTCCAAATGTTTGGAGAAGAAACGATGCAGCCCGGCGACTTCTGCCTCGTTCCTCTCTCTTTTCTCGTTGTCCACGTCCTCCACGTCTGTCGCAGGAGAAGGAGAGATGTTCAGGGTGATCCAATGCTTCTTCTGCCTATAACCTTGTCCTTACCCGGCATTGCATGCAGAGCCTCCATCGCCATGCATTTTAGGCTGCGAATGCTTTTAGTAATATGAACCACTGCTTTGGGTCGTGTGCATGCTCGGGCATCGAGACGGGACTTTTTAAAATCATTTTGAACTTAATAAAAAAACAATTTGCGTTACAGAAACTCAGTCGGCCCTCCGTGTGTTTAAAGTGCTTCTTCCCGTTCAAGTTGTTTAATGGTCTAATGGACATTCCACCCACACATGTGTAAGATAACCATATAGATGAGGCCTCGGGTGTTAATCTCAAAGCGTTGCGCTATTTTAAGAAGGCTATCTAGTGAAACTCACAGTCTCTGGACCTGTTGTGCTGAATCGGACACTTCGCGGAGCAAAGTTAAAAAACAAAATCATGCATGCGTGTTCAAGGTCAATTACTCACGTGATTGAATGTCGTCTATGAGCAAGATCTTCTCAGAAACACATCTTTCTTTCTGCGTTCTCTGCAGAAAATGGGCACAATTAACAGATAACGAACCCCAGCGTGCGCCGGGGAAAAAAACGCAGTGCCGCTTAGTGACTGTCCAACCTTCTTGGCGAGGATCCGGGCGACCAGGCGAGAAATCTCCGACGGGCACCAGTTCTCCTTGAACGCCATCATGGCAGAGCACTCCAGCTTGTGCATGGCCCAGTCCCCTTTCTACACACAGACACACAACCCCCGTGGAAAACGTTCAGCAGCTGTTGTAAAGGAAATAAACTCTAAAAGACAATACGAGGTTCGTTTTACTTTCACTAGAATCGTGACAGTCCTGCTGCCCCTCCCTGAAAGTCCTACCTGACATTTTGCGTTGCAGTAGGAGGCTTTCTTGCACTTCCCACATCTTGCCAGCTTCTCTTTCCTGTGTGTGAAACAAACGGGGTCTATTAGCTCCTGCGTACTAAGACAGCATCACACTCACAACGATCAATCTGCAGATGTCTGACTTGAATGCGGTGAAAGCTGTACGTCAGCATATACTTTTATGCAAGTTTCTAGCTGTTTTGTGCTCAAAGCTCCTGCTCGATTATTCTGAAACAAGAGGCAGCTGTTGTCGGCGCTGCCACTTGTAACTTATGCACCTAAGAGCTTTGAAACATTCTGTGGTATTAATAGAGCCGACCGGCTGTCTCTCTCAGCCACATTGGAAAGTAATGAAAAAGTCCATCACTTAATTTTAGCACAGTTGGCAGGGGGGTCCGAGTTCAACGAGCTGCTTAGCGGTGGGTGGACGTGATCGACGGGGATCACACCCCCCCCCCCCGGATGTAAAGTGATACTATGAGCGCTACACTGTACAGGTAGCTGTGTCTAACATAACGGATTCTCAATGTGTGCAGTTATATCCAGCTATCCACGCTCGTGGGTCCCTTTGTGTCCCGAAGCTGTGTTTTCTAAGGAGATTGAATGACTTTGTCACTTATGACTCTGCCATAAGAGGACTTGAGGAAGTTGAGGTCATGGTCTATTCATGCAAAACTAAATTTGCTTTTAAAATTGCTTTTTTACCGAATTATAGTAGCTTAGAAGTAAATCATTCATAATGAACATTACATCATCTTCCTAAATTCCTAAATTTTACACCTTTGCACTAATTATTGTACTGCATACCGATAAAGAAAATGATACTAGACTATAAAATGACTACATCTGCTTGGTATTATTATATCAAGGCTACATTGAATATAAAATATACAATGAAATAATCCAGAGCTGATTGAATGCTGTTTTTAGTGATGACCGTATTAAGTTATTAACCCATTAATTGTTTTAAACACATAACAGAATATAGAGATCATTAATCACAATGTTCAATATTTTGAACAGAACGTGCTGTGAAAAAACAGATCTCATCACATTTTTAAGACCATGTGTGTGTGTTTGGTGGTCAACAGTTAAAGTTAAAACAGACAAAAAGCCTGACACTCCAAAGCATGAGCACCACATGATGCAACAACAAAAGCAAAAGCCTTTTCTCAGCATGCAGGGATGATAAAACAATACGTGCATAACCCGTGACTCACTTAGTGAAGCAGAACTCGCAGCGGGAGCCTCTCTCCTCTCCCGACAGCACAAACGAATAGGCCGGGCTGCAGAGCACCAGCTCCCCGACTGCAAAGCCTCTGGTGACCCGGAGACCGCGTCCTTTGCCCGGACTGTCGAACCTCTCGACCCCCCGCGATGCCGCCCGTCATGGTTGCTCTCCCCCACTCCTCCACCTCCGGCCACTCGGGTGCGACCGGTGTTACACCCCTACTGGTTTTTCCACCTACTGGTTTCCCTACGCGTGCGTGTTTGTGTTCACTCCACAGCTGCAGATGTGTCCGCCTCAGTTCCCTGATTCGTCACACATTCACAAACATATTGCTGAAAATCTTCAAAACGCATCACAAATCCATTGCAGCGTTTACGATTGTATAAGTGAGCACCACATCACGGCCACGTATGAAAACATTTACATGAAAAAATATATTAAAGGAAAGATCGGCACAACCTGGATTCGAACTCGGGGGATCAAAACATCAAAATAGTACCCTTGTGGCTGCTCTTAGCAGTGCGCCACACAGACACACAGCAATTTGTGACCCTCAGTATAAATTATTCATTTCGTTAACGTAGATCAGCATGAAGGAAACCTTTTGGTGTCGTGGATCTAAAACAACTGGTTACCTTGGGCGTGTCTTGGAACACTTCAGGACATGTGCAACGCTACTTCTTCACGAGGCTGCAGCCTTGCAGCGACATATTTTGATAAAGAAAGGATGTTGTTTTCTTACGGCCATCGCGTGACGTAAACCACAGACACGAACAAAACAAAGTTTAGAAAATATATTAAAAGATCGAACCGACCAGGTTGCGAACCCATGCAGCAAAATACAAACACATCTCAAAGCTAGTCGCGCTGTGCACTGCGCCACAGGGTAGTACACAGGGTTTGGTCTTGATATATCAATGAAAGGAGATTGACATGGAGGAAACCTTCTGGTGTCGTGGATCTGAAACAACTGGTTACCTTGGGCGTGTCTTGGAACACATCCAAAGAAATGTATCCATTCTTAATTGTCACCCAATTAAAGTTAACAAGCAGCATCCCTATAAAAACGCCATGAGGTCGTTCATACGATCTTTCCGAACAAGAGATGGACCCACAAAAAGTGAAGGAATTGAGTGAAACAGATTATACACTTGCAAAACTTCTATTAGGAATCAAAAACCTTATAAAGCTCCCAAAATGAAATGTTATTAAATAATAGTGTTTTAACAGTCACAATAAATAAATAATTGAAAAAAAAATAAAGTAGCTCTAAATAAAGCATGCTGGACAGCAGAAGTCCTGCTCCAAAGGTGGTTTCCCAGTGCAAACCCAGTGGAACCACAGATGGATGTCACGGAAGACACGCCCAAGGTAACCAGTTGTTTTAAATCCACGACACCAAAAGGTTTCCTCCATGCTGATCTACGTCAACGAAATCAAAAAATAATACTGAGGGTCACAAATTGCTGTGTGTCTGCGTGGCGCACTGCTAAGAGCAGCCACAAGGGTACTATTTTGATGTTTTGATCCCCCGGGTTCGAATCCAGGTTGTGCCGATCTTTCCTTTAATATATTTTTTCATGTAAATGTTTTCATACGTGGCCGTGATGTGGTGCTCACTTATACAATCGTAAACGCTGCAATGGATTTGTGATGCGTTTTGAAGATTTTCAGCAATATGTTTGTGAATGTGTGACGAATCAGGGAACTGAGGCGGACACATCTGCAGCTGTGGAGTGAACACAAACACGCACGCGTGGGGAAACCAGTAGGTGGAAAAACCAGTAGGGGTGTAACACCGGTCTTCCTGCACAGCGAGGGAGTTGTCACGTTAACTTGTTTGGGAACGTGCGTGTTGCTGCGGGAGCGCGCACGTGCGTCAGCGCGGTGGAACTGCGAGTAGCTCAATGCAGAAATACGCACTGGTTTTAGTGTTTCATCAACGACGTTTTTACTAAGTAATATGACTCGTTTGTCTTGAAGTCCTGGTTTTATAACGTCTTATATTTATTTTTTAATGTTTTTATGCCGTGCAATACAAGCCACTGCAGTAACAACACATTCTTCCTACCAAGTGAAATACAATATAAGGCAATGAGAAATATTTCAAATGTTCAGGGCTCTTCTATGACATTCACCAACTTAATCAACACATCACATATATATATATATATATATATATATATATATATATATATATATATATATATATATATATATATATATATATATATAGATACACAGAGTATACTGTTGCTTTTTCATGATTTTTTTTTATGATTCCATCAGCTGATTGTGGACATGAATAAACATCAACTCTCTGCTTGTGCATATTTCACATAAGATGGGACTCTCCTCCAGACATGTTCCTCATACATCAGCCTATTGCAGCAGCTCCCTTCATCGCCACCACGGATGGAGTGGGGGGGGGCGGGGGTGGATAGACTTTATTTGCCCCCCAGCATTTTTCCCCCCCCCCCCCCCCCTCCTCCTCCCCTCACCCTCCACCCTCCCCCTCCTACCCCACTTCGGTGTGGTGCAATTGCTGCAGACTTTGCACTATTCTGATTTGCATGATACATTATTGTTATATTCCTAATGAAATCTCTCACGATTGAAGCACCAATTAGATTTTTTTATGACACTGTCCTGACGAATGTCACCAGCATTTCAATCCACATTGAAGACCTTATCTGGGATTTTTTCTTCATTGCTTCACACAATTTATTGCATTCAGACCAAAGTTAACATTACTGATCTTCATTGTTTGTTCTGTTTGATACGTTTTCTTTCTAAATAAATGTCTATTTAGTATTTTGTTACTTGTCTGAACTTGCCTTTTCTGGCATACTAAGTACTTTTTTGCATTCTAAGAACAACAAGGCATCGCATGTACACACATTCAGGAGCAATCGCTTACCCTCATTTCATTTGGCACAGTGCGGTCAGATAAGGCCACCTGGTGGTCAAGGCTGAGAATACATTCAACATTGATGCCCTTTCCATCACGATGCTTTTCTCTGTGTTGTGTCACTGAATAAAAATTGACTGTTCAACTGTAAACAAAAGGGCCTTTTTTCCCCACCCTGCATTATGTGGTACTTTGTTCATCATGGAGAGAGTTCAGGTCAGATGAGTAAAGAAAGAGCCCTCGAGTTCCAAACCGCGGTCGACTTTGGTCATATTGTGCCATCATGTGGGTCTCGTTTGCAAGTGCAACCTCCGACGACGGAGAAGCTCATCCACCCACGAATCAGCAGGTAGAAAGAGACTGATCGTCCAACAAGACTGGTGAAACTTCTCCCCTGAGGGAGGGAGGGGGGGCGGGGGGCTCGGGTCAAGAACTTGATCGTGAGTCTGAATTTCACAGAAGCAACACACGCATATCTGCTTTATCTTTGTCCCTCTCTCTGTCTCCCTGTGTCCGTCCCTCTCTGTTTCTCTCTCTCGCCCGCATACACACAATACAAAAATACACCCACGCAAGATTTGTCCATCATCTGTGTCTGAAGGCTTTATCCACCCTTGCCCCAGTTTTGCCCGATTTGTTGTAATTTCATTTTTCCAGTCTTTCAATCTAAAGATTTGTTCCTCCTCATTTTTTAATAATGTGCAAGCAAGGGAGGCATGTCCCCCGGAGATTATGTCGTCGTCTTTGGCGTCTCGTCTTGATTACATCAGAGGAACCTGATTTGATTTGGAAGAAACCCCCATGTTACAGTACACGATCTGTTGGACCTCGCCGCTGTGCTGATTTCTTGCTCTGTCAGAGGGGATGATCTTGATGAATATGAAAGAGAGGGAGGCAGTGGGGGGATTAGGTGAAAGGATTATTATTTCCAATGATGAGAAATAATAAGAAACAATAAATCCTAAGTAGATTTAGTTCTCAAGGAAACCCTGTTAGGGTAAATCAATGGAATAAGAGACAGGACAGAAAAGATACAGGACAGAGGTATTAAATATAGTCGGCCTGACCGGTTTGCTCCAAGAGACCTTAACGTGAAATTTGTCTTGGTTTAGAAAAAAGTTCCCACACTATAATTACAAACTCCATATCGAAGGCGTTTGGCGCTCAAAAGTTATATTGTTCCAAAGTTCTTGTTTGAGTTTGTCTGTTCGTATTTGACTGAATCCCTTCAGGCTGTGATAGACTCACCACTGTTACACCATTTAAACATTAAAAGTAAAAACAATGCAGATTACTCACCAAATGATTGCGAAATGCAGCCTTGGAAGAGGGAATAGCGATCAACCGTTATAAAATATGTTGATGGACCCAAAATGAGTCAGTGATTATCCGATAAAATAACAGATTTTAGTTGCAGCCAGATATATTTAGGAACTTGCCAGAGATATATAGGAGCATCTTTTTATGTTTGAATACATCTTGTGTAGACTTTTATTAAGGAAGATGTTTGGTGAAAATGAAAAACAAAAAAAATCTAAATTTATCTTACAAATCTTGCGTTCCTAACCAACAACTGTTTGGGACCCTTCTGCTGTACAGACTAAGCCATTGAATTGTAGCGTGATGTTTCTGACCTTTGGACCAGGGCAGGTAGACTAACATTAGAAACCTTGCAATGGTCTGCAGTACTATTCTCAGTCTATATACGTATATTATTAATAAGATCCAAGGAAAGATAAACAGTGTTAGAGGGCTTATTGCAAATCTACACTTTTACCGTCTCATAATTCATGTGAACATTGTCGGCGTTCTCTTTATCAGCACCTCTCCGAGGATCAAACAGCATAAACGCTCCTTTTTACACCCCCCACAAGACACTGCGGGTGTGACTCGTGACTGTTGATGGATGTGCATTGTCACATTGGGAACCTCATAAAGCGGCAGCTGCTAATGCCTCAATTGCCACGAGGTCGGGGACGAGGGCTGTGTGTGAAATCCAGAGCGGTTAAAGAGCCGCCGCGCCACTTTGGGTCCCGCGGTGGCGGCGGACTCGGCCTCCTCACCTCACACCGGTGACCTTGTCATCGCGGGCCGTTCCCGGGCCGCCGCACTAACTAGGGGTCGTCGGCAGGGCGAGCCTGAGAGGCTGTATATGTATGTAATGGGGGCTGTAGGGGGGGGGTGCATGCCAAGACCCTGTGTAATTGTGCCTTTATTCCCCCGAGCAATACGCAATGAATCTACATTCCTCGTGATGAACTCACTGACTGAGACAGTGTCTGCCGTCCCCCCCGT